TTAATGCAAACTGGTATTATGAAACAGCTAGTGTCCCAAAGCCTTGGGAAATTACACTGAAGCAATTTGCGACAAACCCTGGATGGTTTCGCATTCGTCGGGACGACATACAGAAACATATATTGGTGTGGATAATTACCTTTTACAGGAATTTGAACGTTGAAAATTTGCTAGAGCTGCTACCTAGTGCAGTCAGACCATCCACAAAATTGTTTAGCAAGGAATATTTTGAATTTGTTAGGCGTAAGTACTACCGCCAAATTTCTGGAAGTCGCGTGCTTCTTAGTCAACCAGATTTCGTAAGAAATTACGAGGATTTATTATTCTGGACGGAAAGCAGTTTCTCTACCCTTACATGTTCTCCTGCCCTATCCAGAAGCAACTTTGGATTTAACGCATATTACCGCCCATACGAAACTGAAGTTTGGATATCGATTGCGAGTCTTATTAGCATCGTATCAATTTGTGCCAGTATTCGTGCCGTAGTGACGGAGCCGAAAAATTATATGAGTTGGCTAGTTACATTAACGGATTCTACAGCACACTTATTCAGCGCAATGATTGATGTCATATCAGACCTTATTCCTATTTAATTATCAAAGCATAAATTATGATTCATGTTGAAGAAGTTGAGGAATTTGAGGAATGTCCGTGTCCTAAGAGTTGTATGGCCCATGTGGATCATATTTTGCATAATTCTAAGCAACGGATACAAAGGTATCGTTGTTAACGATCTAATAGCCCCCCTTACGCAAGAAACGCCACAAACCATAGACGAAGTGTTCGAAAATAAGTTTCGAGTTATTTATTCAGATCCAGCTGTAACAGAATATGACATGCTAAGTCATATTCTTTTTAAGGCCAACATAACACCTGGAACACAATTTAAAGGGGCTCTTAATAAGTTGCACATGCAAGCAGTTTACGTACCATATTTTCTCGACAATAAGGAAAGGAATTACCTAAGGAATAGCAGTACCAGTATTTCGGAACCACAATATGCTGCCCTTATCATGTGTGAATCAACTGACCTACAACGATTTAAAAAATGTTACGACACGTATCTTCTTAACTATGGAATTCAGACCCGAACTATGGATGTATTTCTAATGCTATGTGCGGCTGCAAAACAGATTCTTAATTTTTTTGAGAAGAACACGCTCCAGTACGTTATACAATCACTGGAATGGCTATCGACAAACGACGCTCGGGAAGTTTTGAGTAACTGTGATTCTTCTATTTTTATAGTAAGGTCGACTGAAATTGATCTGTACATGGATCGTGTCTTCACCTGGAAATCCTTCAAAACTAGGAAACCTTTCAAACAAAGTAAGAATCAGTTTGGCAAGGCCTACATTTTTGCCACACTACAAAAGGCGTCAACCGGTCAAAGAACGTGCCATCCCCCATCGACAACTTCGATGGCTGACACGATCTCATAAAGTGTCTTACCCATTTCGAGGAATTTCTAATTTTCATATATGCCATTAAACTGGAGGATTTAGAGTACGGCTTGGCTAAAATTTTTCAAACCACGTGAATTACCACAAAACAATCCAAGGCAATGATTAAGAACAACAGCAGAATTATGATAGGTGCTTGGTAATACGAGGTTACCAAGATATAGAGTGATACAGTTTCCGCAACGGCAATGCCACCCATACCGACTGGAACTGACGGTTGACACCAAGCATTGTTGTGGTACGTAGTTATCAACTGAAGCACTCGGTACTTGTAGAGATGGTAACTACTAGTTGGCCTTTTAACTCCCATCTCGTTCCTGTTAATAATAAAAGATCCCCGCATGTATATAATTTAGCAATAAATTGTTCAATACTAAAATTGTGCTAATACTCAAAATCCTTACTTCTCAATGTAATCCAGAATGAGAAGTTTCACCTCCACGGGATATAGTAAAGCGACATAAACACCTATCCCAACAGTACCAAGGATTACCATCCAGGCGTAGAATTCATAGATTCCGACAACGAATTTGATCAGCAATCCTGCTTCTCCGTCATGCCTCCAATTCTTACAGTTTAGAATCATTGTGCTAGTTAGGACCGGAGGCATGCAAGGTTGAAAGAAACTCATGACTGAAACTGCGCATGGAACCAAGACAAATGTCGATACAACGGTGGCGCCGAATATAACAAAATAACGATGCACATAGACGGGCACACCTGGTTAAAATAAAGATATAAATATAAATTTAATATCATGAGTTTCATTTTTTTAAATTAGATATTAGCCGAAATTAAATAACCATGTTCGCATACTTCTTAAAACTATAATATTTATACCTAAATGTATTTATTTTAAAGAAAACTTTTTGTTTTTAACTATTTTCAAAGGGTCACAGTTAGCATTCTCTTGAAGCACATTAACTATACGGGAAGCTGACCATTGCTTGTACTATTAACGTTTATACTGGTCATCGAATACATTTGTACAAAATGTCGGATCCAAAAAATGTATTGTATTGCCATACAAAAATTACAACTACCCAAGGGCCATTTTCGACATAGTCCATTTGTTGATTACCTTCACGAATTAGTTGCAGTTCGGTATCGAGGCATGCTTTTAGCATTACCATTATCTCTTTCCTCACCCTTTGGATATGCATCAATCCGATTGTTATGACTCCATTGAGAAAGCCGGTATATCCAACGAGGACAAATTTCCAGTTTGGGAATGTTGCCAACCAATGGGTTCGTAACCAATTTAGTGGTCCAGAAATATGTATGACACTTGTGAATAGGGCAAATAGTAGAGGTACGATTGTCTTCAAACTCATATATGACAGCTCGAATTTCTTGGAAAACTTGACAGAAACAATGTTTGTGCAGTTAAACAGCTTGAAGCTATTCACAACCAATGGAATATTCGATGAGAGTAGTTGTAACAAAGCTGATGGCTTGAACTTCATTTTCAACTATCAAATTACGATAAAATACAGGTTGAAAATGGTCGAATTTAAGATAAGGTACGCGAAAAATGATCCAAGTTTTAACAAAGCTGATGGTTTAAACTTCATGTTCGCAGGGCGACGTTACAAGGAAACAAAGATTCAAATGGTCCAGTTCGAGATAAGTTACGCGGTAAATATGTAAATTATATTTCCCCAAATATCTTCAAATCTTAACGTTTTATCTTTTGAAAACCTAAATCTACTTTTGCACATATTCATACGTAGATTCGTAGTAACTATTGTTTGTCTGTATGTGTAATCTTACATCGTCGTTCGTTCAGATTTTCGGCTACTAGATTTGTGTAGAGTTTGTCAAACACGAAAGCTATTCAATGTCTAAATATTAATCATCGGAAAATCTATTCAATCAATTTCAATCAATTATTCAATCAAGTCGCTTGGGAAATAAAATTTTTAAAAGTGCAAGCTATATAATATTCTACGAAATAGGTACATAAATATGTCGGCTATAGGAAATTGATATCTTAACTCAAGCAAAAATCAAGCGAATATATAATAGAATTCAAGAAATATAAAATATTAGTCTGTATTCTGTAGTCACCGTCGACAGACTGCATTTAAATGGTACCTGGTACTGGGACTAGGTCATGCAGGAACGTCCATACATATATTACGTCAGAAAGCAACCGCTAAATTTTGGATTACATTCCCTTCGCTACCCTACTCATTCTACGCTTAACCCGAATAATACCCAAAACCACCAATCCACTCTCTTGATGACGTAATATGTGGATGTTCCCTTTCGAAAAATTGTAGCTACAGAAATAGCGTAGTGAAGAAGAAGACTTCAAGCCGGTACCGCTCCGGGGTTCATCAAAACTGTAGCGGTTCCCTTTACTAAAAACTTATGAAGTGCATGACCACCAATATTTTACTGCTGAGATAGTATGGTTTGACGAAAGGTGATAGAAAGTCTCAAAACATAAATGCTTAAAGATTTGCAGCCAATTTAACTCAACAAACATGGTATTCACATCGTTATATATTCAATTAAGCGCAACACATTCGGCACATTTCATGCATAATGTAAATGTAAAAAGCAAGATTGACTGCTAGCCATCTTTTTAACTGCATAACCAAATGAATAATTGATATATCTATATTCCATCAAAATCAATTTCCTCCAGTGTCATGTACTATGTTTAAATATTTATTTTCTCATAATGTCAACCCTAGCAATCGAATACCTTGTCGTCTGACTTTGTCCATGTACATATGTCTTTCTCTGCGTCCGTCCGCCATCAGTACGAAGGGTCAAGACAATGTATTAATACCATAGTGCCATTGATTGATTGATTATGAATCATAATTTATGCTTTGATAATTAAATAGTACAAACTAATAAGGTAAACTTTAAATTTGCATGTCATAAAATTTTAAATCTCTCCATATACCATAGTATTAAATTCAAAATCTATTTTTTAATTGTCCCACGTTCATTGTCTCCCGTGCAGTCTTAAAAAATTTCAGCGAAGGAAACTCCTAAAATTATAAATATTTCCCAGCTTTATAAAATTTTCTAACTTTCCAATCCTTAAAATCCTTAAAAAATTACTGTGCAACAACGCACCAATATAATTTTTATCTAAAATTTACATCTAAATGTTTAACCCACCTAAAAGAACCAAATTAGATACGAAATGAAGCCAAGGGTGGTTTCCAGCCTCTTTTTTCCTCCGCACCCTTCTTGCATTCCGTCAAGCTTCCGACCAACGTGGAGAATATGCATGAACATAAATACATGTTTATAATAATATACAAATCTACGTATATACAATTTGGGTAGAATATACATATCTAGGGTCAAATGCTATATTTATCGTGTACCAGTTTTAATCCTTCCATCACAAAGGGGAAAAAACGGAACAAAGTCGTTTCTCGCAAAAGTACGTACGTACATATGTACCTTATTTATATTTAGCTCAGAACAGAACCCTTCTAAAATACTTTTATTTAAGATGAGTGAAAAGTACAAAAGGGTTTTCATTCGATTTATGTGTGTCAAACATGCTCGTAACATATATTTTTTAAATCAGTCGCTAAATAACTATCATATTTAAAGAGTAGCAGTGAATCGTTCCAGTACTCAATTTCCAGCGATAAATTTAGAAAAAACAGCGTTCCTAGTTTTTCAATAAGCCAGATTGAAGTTCCCGTCGAAATGGAGAATTTTCCTAAAGAATCAATTAATGTAATTGCCAGCTTGCCAGAGGTATTGTTTTATTGACTTTATGTATTGTACACTTTAAAAAATCTGGAATAGTCAAATTTGTCAAACGTTATAGAATTTCCGTTCATCTCTCAGTAAATTTTATGCAAGAAATCATTTCGTCCCTAACTTTATTTGTCCCAACTATAAATAAAATAAAATGCATTTTTTACCGTATCGAGATAATTTCCAAAGTTTCCTTAGGGTGTACTTTTAAACTAACCAAAATGTAAACTTTTCCCATTTTTTTCAGATAATTTCTAGAATTATGGCGTTCCTCCCCACCCCCGACTTGGAGTCCTGCTCTCTTGTCAACGCCACCTGGGAAGCGGAAGCTCTGACCCATCTCCTCGCCCGAACCCCGGTTGACCTTAACCTCTTCGCTGCCAAGGATTTCACCGACCTCGTCCCGTACACGACCCTGGCCCTGAAACACGTCAAAATATCAACTATATCCAAGTACTCCGATGACAGAGCGATTTTGCTTCCCAAATTCGATTTATTAACCTCCCTGAATTTCAAATGTGTAACAAAGCTAGAAATTGATTTCTTAAGCCATGACGATTCCAGCCAGGTCGAAAGTCACGTGGTGAAACTGGCCGCATCCTTGGTAAACTTAAGGTCACTACAATTTGACCTTAGATTGCTCTCCCAGGACAAATATTTATCCTCGGAACGAGTCGATTGGACTCATTTGTTCCCCGATAATTTAACCTACCCGCCAAAACTTGCCAGTTTAACGTTTAAAATGTGTAGTTGGGCCTTTCAATATTTTCGTGAAAGGGTGCAAACAATTGTTTCTTTGATTACGCGAAGCCTCACGGTTTTCGGGCACGTCAGAAATCTGACACTGGTCGACATGCCGGACTGGATTATGGAAGAGAGTGATCTCCCCCTGGGTAAAATTGAATATCTCACAAGAACCATTTATACGGAACGTTTCCCGCCAAAGCCGGTGAGAAACGGGGCAATTTACGCGAACATTACTCGGCTCGAGGTTAACCCGCAAATTGGAGATGGCGCTGGTGATCTTCTACACGTTTTGGCCCAGCAGTTAGAATATCTCTGCATCTCATACGTTCCCGCTGTTCCGACGCAGATTTATCATAGCAGAGAAACCTTGAGAATTCCTATCCTTCCAAAATTGAAGGTTTTAAAGATTTCGCGAGACCAAGGAGGGATTTATGCTAGACATGGCGACTGGCAGCGCGACATTTCCTTAAAATTTGACACAGGTAGGGATAACGTTGAGTTAGTTTATGCCAAACAATTTCCCATACTGGAAAGGTTAATTGTGCGGTTGGAGATTCCCATCACCGCCAAAACGTCGGAATGGGCAAAGAAATTCTGTGGTCGGGAGGAAACCCGGATTTTTATGGGAAAAACGTTTCTGGCGAAGGATCTCGTACCCTGTGAGACTTTGAGAAGTTTGGACACTTGGTTTCCGTGTGAGGAGGATTTAAAAATGTGGAGGTGTGGGTGCGCCCATGGAAAAGGGGTGTGTACCTGTGCAGAGTCCGAGTTTTATGAAAGGATTGCGACAACGTTTCCGAACTTGAGGTATGACGTGATCGAAAGGGGGAGGGAGATTGAGAGGATGAGGAAATTAGAAAATTAGGTAAAGTTCGGAAATATAATGTGAGTTTCCACCTCTATATATTTGTACGTATTTCAGGGAGACAAAGAGCGCAAGGGGATGAAATAGGTTTAAAATTTGCAATGTATACAATTTCTATAAATATTTCAAACATTTACAAATATGCATAAGTCCTATATTCGTAAAGACTTCGGGCAGACAATGAACGTGGGAGACAGAAAAATAAATATACATGCAGAGATTTCAAATATACAATTTGACGATATTTAGATTTGAATTTTAACTTGACTTATAATTATCTACGTTTAATAGTTAGATTAATTAATTCTCTAATTAATCATTGCCAAATTGTAACCGTTACGATTACTACCATACATAATCTTCGTGGTTAGGTGGACCCTCTTCATTTGCAAATTTTTCTTTGCAAAAAAATATTCTAAAATAGTTTGCATGTGTATGTACATATGTTTAAATAATAAATTTTCTAATTTTAATAATATTTAGAATGAATATTGCATACTGAAATACTTGTTAAAAATTTTAATGATTAAATCCAATTATGTCCAATTGCAAAAATAAAAAAGATTTAAAACGTTCAGAACTTGATTATAATTTAATTTATATTTATACACACATATAATGCTAAACCCGTTTGGTTCAATTTGTAAGATGGTTAAATATTCAAGTTCAATTTTCCACTTGTATCAGTTTTCAGTTATCTAAGAAAAGTGCGAGCAATTTCTCAAGAAGGAGAGGTTCAGCACCTTTAACTAAGCCCTGTTGGTCTAGTGGATTTGAGGGCAGAACTGTCACCACGCAGTTCAGCGTTCGATTCCTAGACCAGGGAAACTTAGTAATCCCATTCGGCTCGGTGATAGTACGGGGTGGGTGCTCCCAAGTGTCCGCTGCCAGCGGCTAATAGAGGGTTACGGAACCTTGCTCTGCTTGGGGAGCCGCAATAGAGTCCGTACTCTATATGCTAGGGGAACTTGTGGTAGACCAGTCATTAAGTTGTACTGAACAAGGAATTCCTTCCCTTAGGGGAAAACCGACACTTTACTTTTTTTACTTTTACCATGAACTCCCATATTTTTCTTCCTCTGGATATGTATGTCGTACAATGTGGTACCAGGCCCTAAATGATTTGACACGATGGCCTCACCATCCAAATTCAAAGTAAAATTGCGTGTAATACCCGAACTTTTAATTTTTTTTGAAAAAATACACCCTTGCATCACCCCCTTAGGAGATACCATGGACAACAAAAATGTTTAGGCACCCTGTGTACACACTTAAACAAGTTAAAAATTAGTTCATTTAAGGACATACATAAATACGTCTTCACGCTCACATTCACGTTCATGGATTATGATAGTGAGGATTGCGAATGAGAATGAATATTGTGCCATATAAACGAAACGAAAATACCTGAGAGGATTTGTCATTTCAGATGAATGACTAGGAATGAAAGGATTTTTCACCTGCTTAATTTTTCACCCTATGCTTAATAAATACATATTGTGCAGAAATGAAGTCCATTTTGAAGTGAAGTGGGATGGATTTGAAAGAAAATGACTGAATTTAAATGAAAATTTTCAGTTGGTAATCGTAGATGTAAATGTTGCATCTTTACGTATAAATATATATAAATCACTTTTATATATGCACCTCACTTTTAAGGGGCCGGTATAGTTTCACCCTTAGAAACATTTTGAAATTTTTGTTTAGCTTTGACCACCACTACCTCAGCAATTAAGCAGTTGAAAAATCAGTTGAATTTTTCTGACATGTAAAAATACTCGAGTTTAACACAAAAAATATTTCTAAATTTTCTGAAACTCAATTCGCAGAGAAATTTTGACTTTCGTAAATAATGGTAGATTCAGTTTGGGAACAACAACTCCGCAAAAACGAGAAGTCCCAAAATTTTGGAATTTATGTCAAAATCTAGACAATTTAGTAGCGGAGGGCATATGATCAACGAAAAAGCTGCCGAACGCATTAATAAAATCTTACAGACCAAACCATGGTACAAGTGCTAAAGAACCACTGTTTTTGAGTCTGGTTTGGTCTGTAAAACTTTGTTAATGCGTTCGGCAGCTTTTTCGTTGATCATATGCCCTCCGCTACTAAATTGTCTAGATTTTGACATAAATTCCAAAATTTTGGGACTTCTCGTTTTTGCGTAGTGGTTGTTCCCAAACTGAGTCTACCATTATTTACGAAAGTCAAAATTTCTCACCGAATGGAGTTTCAGAAAATTTGGAAATATTTTTGTGTTACACCTGAGTATTTTTACAATGTCAACTAAATTTAAGGGATTTTTCCATTGCTTACTTGCGGGGGTAGTAGGGGTCAAACCTAGCCAAAAACTTTAAAACGTTTCTACGGGTGAAACTATACCGGCCCCTTAATATTCCATAATTTTATTACTCCATGATTTTCCCATGGCTTCAGGGGCCACTGACGTGCATTATTTAGCGCATGCAGATGGATCGTCCTTTACTTTTCGTGCACTCGCTTCGCACTTTACTCTATCCAACGGGCATCAGAATCTGGCTTTGCAAGGCTTGTCTGTTCTCTTTGGCCCTTTTTGATTGCTAATACGATTAAATAAATTGTCAATTTCATTGTCTCAATTTTTGAATTCGGTACCGATAAATCATTCCTTTCTGGGCGTGCGGTAAAAAATATTTACCTATGATTTTGGAACTTTATTCCACGCTATTTATAAAATTGGAATACGCTGCTGAAAACACGGTTACAAATACGGCTTGCATTTTTATTTCAACAATTTGTTCCATTGCGATAAGTTTCTCGCAATGCCGACATCCCCAAGTATTCACGTGCTGAACGTTTACGCCGAAGTATTTCAGAGATTCGGGTATCACCCTGTCCGCTGGGACAGATCAAAGAAAAAATTCATATACCGACTGAATCACAGGGAATTACTGTTCTGGAATTTCAACGTGGCGGCCGTATTATTCGGAACGTTCTGCTGTGGATTAATATGTTTGAGGGAGATCTTCGTGAAAGTGAACAATGTTTCAACTTATGTCTTAGTCATTCAGATATTCCTTATGCTAATGGGCATGGTGACCGGGTTCGCGTTTGCGTTGCTGTTCTTAATCCACGGACAGGTGGGGACGATAGCGTGGGATTATATGTGCGGTGTTGAAAATATATTAGACAAAGGTAACTGAAGCAATTATAAAATGTATATTAAGATAGAGACCTATAACGTAATACGAGACGCTAAGAGAAACAAACAAGAATATTTAAGACATAAGTGCAGCAAAAAAACATTGGTGTAGGTTTGTCTTAGAAACTCGACAATTTTAAAATATCGAGAATAATCTGTTTTTATAAGAATTCTTCCCTGACAGGGTCGAAGACGCCTTTGAAGAAACGCCGTATGTGGGAACTTTTCACAAAATGCGTTGCCTCGTTAATAAGACTTGCTCCCACCCTGTCCGTAATTGTAGCTTTTTTGGGAAACCTTTTCGAGCAGGATCCTTTCTTTTACCTGTTTAAAGGGCTCATGCCCAGTCAAGCGTATGGATACCATTCATTTACAATTGCCGCCGTGCGTTTTATTTTAACCACAACTGCTATCTTTGAATTCGCTTGGATGGCAGCCTTCATAATCGCCGTGCTGATTGGAGTAGTTGACTTCTTTCTTACACTGATCTATCAGCTGAGAATGAAAAACCTGTACTTAATGTTGGTCTTACGTGTATACGTCATGACGCATCTCTTTCTTCAGACTGCTCGAGAGGTTTTTGATGTCGCTATTGGTATGTTACTAGTTGGGACAATGGTAGCCGCTATTATCGCCTTGTACCTGTCCGTATCTGCGTACACCTTAGTACCAGTTGCAATCTATTGGATGTTCCCCTCCTTCGCATTTACCTCTGTGTGCCTCCTGCAAATCTTCCTAATTACGATCATCTATGTGAGCGAGGAATCAACTGCAGCTATTCTGAAGTTAAAAATGGTACTCGCGAACGTTCCGCAGGTTGAGATTGGCAAGTCCGGAAATTTGAGGAACTTATTGACCAGAAGAGTAAGTTCTATGAGGCCGTTTGAATTTTATGCAGGTGTGTTTGATTATAGATTTCACAAATTAGGAAGAAGCACTAAGCTTGCGATTATTGAGAATATTTCTGATGTAACGATTTCGTCACTATTGGCGAAGACGAGGTGAGGTATTGTGGGACACAATCGTTTGTAAATGTTCGAAAACTTGGTGTAGTTATGGACCTGTCTGTAGCTTTGCTGCATACTTGCAAATGCCTTAATTATGTAGCCTTAGAGATACAATTAAAGATATTTGAATTTTTCATAGTGGTCATAATAGGCTGCGGGTATCTCACCTTGGCCTTCACAGCCAGACCAGACTTTGCTCTAGTCTAGACTTGCTAATTAAATTATTAAACTTAATGCGAAGAATTCTCGTTGTGTATGTAGGCTGCAAGCTCAGTTACACAGAGCCATAACTGTTGTTAAGAGTAATGCAGTAAAAAAGGTAAAGGGTCGCATTTGATCCTGTCGTAAAGCATAACTAAATAATATTATTTTTTTCAAACTATTCAACTTGGAATGTGCGGACCTTTTTAAATTTTAATTAAGAATTTGAACAACAACAAACGGCTACTTCTAGCAACACTGATAAACCCAGTTGTTTTAGAACAATATCGGGTTGATGCAGTTCCTCATAGAGCAGAGTTATAAATATATAAATACATTAAATACGTATGATTGCCTTACAAAGATATAGGTGCAACCTTATCCTGTCGAAAATCTAAATAAAGTAGGAAGCCAAACTCTAAAAATTAATGTTAGGGAGCGTCCATAAATCACGTGATCGAGTCTTGGACAATTTTGACCCCCTCCCCCCCCCTTGGTGACCAGTGGTGATAAATTCATTACCCCCCCCTCCGCTGTCACGTGACAGGATACACATTCCATACATATGTATGTAATTTTACATATTTCGAAATTGTTTGCTACATTAAACTCTTACCGTATAGTTTTGTAAAACAATTATTTTTCAGTAGATATATGTAGGAGTTGCTGAATTAGAACGATCATTACATTTTTTAGAACCAGACTCTTCCCCTCAACAACTATAGTTTAGATTAAGTTTGCAACTCTTCAGCTCCGGAGCCAGATGAAAATAATCCGATAAGTAAACCCGTTCATATACATAAGTATATGAGACTCATATTATGATTCACTGCATCGACCCACAGAAACAATTCAGTTTAAAGGGTAACTAAATATTTCAGGGCAACCTTTACTAAATATTTAATCAGTTCAAAAGAAAAAGGAAAGGCAAATCAATCATGCAAACATTTAATTAATCAAATTATTGAATAATGCATATTGTTAGCGATGAAATACCTGGGACACATACCCGTTCCAATATCTAAGCTGGCTATTGAAATAGGTAATCGCGTCCAATGTTGTCCATGCATAACCATCGTACCGTAACTTTTTTTATTCTTGAGGATCATATATCCGGAAACATACACCTGCTTAATTAATGGGGTTCATGCGAGTTTTCGTGGGTGTTCGGAAGTCTAGGTTATAAAAAAAACCATGATACGTACTGACTAATATTCCCTTTTTTATTTACCAAATAGCTTCAGATTTGATATAAGAATTTGACACTTCTTGTCAAACACCATTTGCATTAACTTTTCTTGGACTAATTAACGCAATTTGATGGAGTTAAACTTTTGTGTTTATTAATTTTTTCTTAGCTTATCCTTCCCTTAATAATATGGGGCACACATCTTATCAATCTTTCTTCTTATCTCCACCGTCCTTATCTGACTTATGTTTCATCCCACCACCACCTCCTCCCCCCTTTCCTTTTTTATTCCCGCCTCGCTTCCCACCCTTCCCATGCTTTGACTTCCCAAACTTCCCGCCCCTCTTCTTCCCGCCCCAGCCTGTCCGATTTTTCCCTCCCCAGTGTTTCCCGCCCCAACCAGTCCCATTCATCCCGCCATGTTTCTTCATCCAGGCCCACCAAAACCGTCGGCGCCGTTCCTTCCTGTCTTGGCCATCGGGAGATGTCGCATTGTCCTTGGAGCCTGCCCCATCGGTGATGTAGTCCGGCGGCATGGTGGTGTTTGTCGGCTCGGAGAAATCTGGCGGTGGGGTGGACTGAGAAAGGTCAAAGTCGTCCCCACTTCCGGCCTCGCACGGGGCGGACGTCGATGAGCCCGGGTGGCTCGGCGTGGTGCAAGGTGGCGGTGCGGCGGAGGAGTCATCGGTAGCATCCGAAAGGCCATCCTCCGTCGTTGTCTCGATTGCCCCCACTGAAGAAATTAGTACGTTTTAGCATAATAAAAGTACATTTATAGGTATGAACAAATTGTAAATTCGATCATTAGAGAGATTGCGCATCAACATTTTTTGACTTTGCGATTGTAATTTTGATCATCTACACATATGTACATACATATTTACATGCCCTTCGTTATTGGTCTATTGACAAAAAAATATTTGCATTATTACAACTTCATAAGATTATGAAAGTTTTTAGAAAATCCAGCCCTCAAAATAAAATTGTGAAAGGCCTGTTCACTCTCTGGGAAAAGAAGACAATGACAACTACATATTAGCATGTTTCTAACTGTATTTAGGATAAAGTTTCAGTAATTATTGTGTCATCCTCTCTGTGCCCAGGCGTTAGGAAATTTTACACAAATTTATTTATGTACAGTGCAATTTACCCTAGTTAATGAATAAAATCCTAAATAAGATAAGGTTTTTTGTAAAATTTGATCAGGCAGCGTTGTATATATTTTTAGGGTGTAAAGTAGCCCCGCAATGTACGTACGTAGATACTTACCCATTTTTTGTTGAAGGGGGCACCCCACAAGGAGGACAAGAATCAAGGACAGGGAGTTGAGTAGGTCGACCTTCATTATAATTCTTTCTTGCGCCGTCTCCCCTTCCCTTCTTGGAGCAGAGTGAGGAAAAAGTTAAAGGCTGAGTTATACATGTTTGGAAACAATGGAAAAAGACATTTCTTTGGGGACCCATTGTTTATTTAGACTGCATTTTCTTTTAACATGGCATGATGAGAAATATGCCAATGCACAATAAAACTACGTGCGCAAATTATGTATGCATGTGCAGTAATGTTAGGAACCTAACCCAACGTAATAAATGGACGTGTTACACAAATAATGACGCTGTTCAGATATGTACATATTCACATCGTATGAATGTAACGTTACAACGATTACGTAGTGAGCCTAGTGTTGCCAGTGAGTTGTAAATAAATAAGTTGTAAATGAGTTGATCTTAAATGAACTATAAATAATCACCAATTTGAGAGAAATTTAATCTATAAACATTTTTGGACTTCCACGTATGTCTTAAACTCATTTCCAACTAATTCACGACTCATTTACGACTCATTAACAGTTTAGTCTAAAATTTAAAAAAAACCGAAATTTTTGTGTTATTTGAAACTTGCACTATTCCACTCCAAATTTATCTGGGAGTCAAAAAATGTTTACAGATTAAATTTTCGGCATGTGGGTGAATATTTATACGGTATTTAAGATCAACTCATTTACAACTCATTTACAACTCACTGGCATCTCTAAGTGAGCCTTTCAATTTTTTGCAAACTTGGATATATCTTAACCCTGGTTGACTTGAAAACGTCCAAGTTTAGCGGAGATACATTCTTGCATAAAAGGAGAACCCCTACTCCTAAGGCTGGCAAGGTTCTCATTTTCCCAATTTGCTGCGCATTATTCCCGCTTTGGATGCAAATATCTCCGCCAAACCTGCGCATTGACAGTTCCCTTTACAAATTTCATACTAATTATATTTGTGATCCATTGACGCAAGTTAGGTCCAAATTAGAGTTGTACCGAGTGCTCGGCCGTTCGAGTAAATACTTTGCCGTACGGAGTACTTGGCCCGACCAGTGAGTTTTTCTTTAAATTCTAATGGAACTAAAATGTTCAATTAAGACATAATTTTTTAATTAAAAATAACTTTGACACCATTTATTAGGTTTACCTTAAGTAAAATCTCTACCATAATTGAACATATAAGTTCCATTGGAATTAAAAAAAAACTCACTGGTCGGGCCGAGTACTCGGTGAAAACCTAAATAAAAAAGATTAACTTACAGAATAATTTAAGCAGCACAATATAGGTATTATTAACCTGGGAACATGATGATGACGGTAAAAGCAGTAAATTAAAGTGTCATAATACTTACAAGGGAACTTCAACTACTGTCCAATCTCGATTTCCTTCGGAATAGCCTTAATCGACAGATAATTTAGTGAAACTAAAACTTTGTCATAGAACATGCGGTGCAAAATCGCGTTTTCGCGAAATATTTTGCAAGAACCTCACCAAAACCGGTCATTTTCCCAATGCTTTTAACATAGCCACGAGCCTTTCGAATGATGAAATGAACTTTGTACTTTGTAGAATATTTATAAGTTATATACATATGTACCTGTCCGCGTAATTTCAGCCCGATCACGAATATGCAAACAATGATGCAAATATTTGCCAATATTTTGCAAATGGCGAAAATCGAAATAATTTCGCAATCAATGACCTCCCTTCTTTCAAATGGAATCAAGATGATATTGAGATTGTGGATTTGTTTATGCGCTTATGTTTGTTTATTTGCTTATTTGTTTATCTTTATGTTTGTTTATATGCGCCTTAATAAGTTCAGTATCAAGATTGGACAATCTTATATCCCTCTTAATTCAAACTGCCCCTTATGTAGTAATACCTGTCTGTCGAGCACCTATTGTTTGCCTGTACTTCGTTAAAATCTGAACGACACTCATTAATTTATCCATTAATTCCCAATTTTAATCCAGTTGAATTTACCAATATGCAACTTTATATTGCTCTTTTCTCTGTGACCTACTGTGATAAATTACTGAATAATTTATTTCTTTTCTGGCATAAAGTCGCTAAAATATTTTGACCTATGTTCCGATCAATAATTAATTTTATATATTTTTACGATTTTATGATTATCAATATTATGTAACCATTCATGATGTGCAAAGGCTGTTGGCTATGATGCAATAAATCAATTATTATTATAAACATTAACTTGGTTGGAGTTCAGGTTTTCCTTAATAACTAACTTTTTACAAAGGTTGGGTTTCATTGGTATCAATCAAAAAATTAACAAAAACAAAACTGTTAACAATTATTTTTTAACAAATTGACACTTTCAGATATTTCATAATAGCAATACTTGTATAACGGCTAGCTGCATACTGAATACGGGCATAGAATCATTTGACGGTAATTACACACTCATCGCCATCTTCGTCCCTAGTGTCAATACTGTCAACTAGTTTCTCAAATTTGTCCTTCAACTCTTTATATTCTAATCCTAACTTTAAAATTTTCGCCAGCTCGACTTCCAATTCTTTAATTAAATCCAGGGAGGCATCATATGCTGCTATACCAATCCCACCCATGAAAACTCGACTCAACCCAACACCAAGTCCTACAAGTCCCAAGACAGGGTTGCCCATGCTCATGGCCAATCCTGAAGAAACCATTGAAAGTCCTCCGAACGCAATGCTTGAGAGTGAATCCAGAAAAATCCCCGTACCCTTCAGTTGAAGAATTTGGTTTCCTACTCTAAACTCGAGCCCAACTATTTATTTAAATTTCGAAACGGATTATAATAAGTTTGTAAAAAACGGAACGATAATTCATGTACTTACTGATACAATCCTTTATGGTGTCCAAGATAGTATATATTGCTCTTGTCGCCTTATTCATTTGCCAGATGTTAACCTTTTTACCTTCGACCTTGTAAAATGATTCGAAACCTTTAATAAGCTTTTCTGCTTCCCCCATCAGTTGCACAGCTTGCTTTAACTTTTCTCTGGATTCGTCTCGCAAATTTGTCGCCCTTCCAGTAAGCTTTGTAAACTCTCGCAAACGCCAAAACTGCACAGCGAGAGCAAGCATCTCTGCGGCAGCCCCTACTTTCATAATTGTGCTCACGGATCCAGTACATTTCTTGCCACTATCGACCGCACGGTCGAATTGGTATCCAGCATGAATGTTTTTACCGATTTCAAAGATTCCGCTGGCGGCCGCCGTAACGTACGGAAGCCAATCCTTGATTTCGGAGGGTGCCTAATGCAATCATAGGTCATTGCATGTTATATTAATCTGGATAGCTAAATCCGGAAGGACTTGTTTACCTCGTTAGCATATTTCGTTACTAATTTCTCCAGTTGTTGAAGATAATCTTGAGCTTGCTATGTTGAAAAATGTGCTACTTTTAGCACGGGAAGAGAATGGAAGTTGGGTTTTCTTCCTCCACCTGGTAAAAATCTCCCGTTTCTCAACTTTGGCCTCAAATATTTTGCCAAATTCCGACCATCGCACAAACTGCCTGAAGTAATATTAGTTGTACTGACATGGACCGCATAATTTTAAAATTTCAACCAAATCGCAGATTTATACTTCACGCCATCGCATTGTTAGAACTATATATAAGAAAGGAGAAGCAGGCAGCGACACGAGAAGAGAGCAGAATTCTGCGGTATATGTAATAAATATGGGCTCCTGATGCATCTTCCTTCGTGTGGGTTCGCCTTTTGTATATGATACATAAATCACTCCAGCTAATTTAAGTCCGACAAAGCATATGTATGTAAATAACGTCAGATTAGACAACTTGGTACTGTCGGAAAAATGATAACGATACGCACGAATTGACAATTGAAAACACTTTCTTCCCGTGATTTCTTGCAAATCCTTACTTGCACCCGAAACGTTATAAAATTCCACCCGTTCTTTCCACTCGTGTAAACTATCAAATTTTCTTCTTACCAGAAACGATCTTTTCGTATTCTGAGGAACGACTCGACAGGTCTAAAAAACAAGCAAAATATAAAATCATTCAACAAAACACTAACTTGTGCATATGTAATTCTTGACTATACAAATTAATTTGACACACTTTAATTAATAATTCTCTACAATCCATATCTATTTACGACAAATTGACTAGACCAGACAACCACACCCCCAGGTTTGGCAAATTTATCATTTTCCAACTTTACTGCCCACTTTTCCGGCTTTGGATGCAAATATCTCCACCAAACCTGTGTCTTGGGAGATAGTTCCATTTGCAAATTTCATACTAATTAAATTTCTGATCGATTAACATCACTTTGGTCCGAATTTGTGAGTATACGTTGGGAGATCTCCATTGTGCGTTTTGCACAGCCTCTTGTAAAGTTTTTACTTCACTTTCAACAACTTCCTTTAGAGTACAAACATTTATGCAGAGTTAAATTTGCGAATAAAAAATTATAGACTTGGAGTTTCACAAGGTTTTTCATATTAATTTATTTGATTTAAGGTATGTAATTTTAACTACATAATTATAGATATGTCTATGCATGTTTGTATGAATTAATATTTGTTCAAAAGTGTCACAATATTGCTTATCTATGCTGTACATATGTATGTAAATCATTTAGGCTATGTACTTAAATTGATCATTATTAATTTGTAACTAAATTATTAACGGATTTGAAAACCTAGATCCACCTTAAATATATTGGCACAAGGTTTGTTGAATCACATATGTTATCCAAGATAAGTTGTTTTGAAATATTTATCGTGACTCAATAAACATCTATAATTGAGCAATGATTAATTAATGATATAACTTAAATTTACATGTATGTAGGTAATTTAATTGTACTTGCAATTTGCATAATATTTTACAAATCTATAAATTGCCTTAAATCTTTTGAATCAATCCCACCTTCAAATTTCATCGTCTCCGCAAAATCTTTCCAAATATCAGCCACCCTCTGCTGACTAAGGAAACCAATTTCTTTCCCAAATTTCACAAAATTTTGGAACTTTCTCATCTTCTCTTTTCTCCTCCACTTCTCCACAACATCGTACCCCAAGTTTGGAAACGTTGTTACGATCCTTCTATAAAACTCGGATTCCTCACAATTACAAAGGTTAACTTCATCGTCACATCTACACGACCAAATTTTAAGGTCCTCCTCACTCGGGAATGAAATGTCCTAACTTCTCAAAGTTTCACAAGATACGAGACCCTCCGCTAGAAACGTGCAACACAAGAAGTCCCTGGTTCCCTTCGTACTACAGAATGCCCTCGCCCATCCTGACGAACGCGGGGTTAAGGGAAGCTCCAAACGCACAATTAACCTCTCCAGTACGGGAAACTGTTTGGTATACACTAACTCAAAGTTATCCATTTTTGTCGCAAACTTTAGCGCCATGTCGCGCTGCCAGCTGCCACGGCTGGCGTATAGTTTTCCTTGGTCTCGCGAAACCTTTAAAACCTTCAGTCTGCGCAGGATGGAATAACTAGGGATTGCTTGTGATGGTCCCCCAACGTGAGGAAGGCGGGAACGTACGAGATGCAGAGATGTTCTAACTGAGGGGCAAGAACGTCCAAAAGGTTCGGTTCACCTTCGGAACTATCTTCGATTTGAGGGTTAACTTCCAGGCGGGTAATATTGGCATCATTCGCAACATTTTTGACCGGCCGGGGCGGGTCCCAGTCCGAATAATATGATCGTATCAAAGCCAGTGATTCGAGTCTTGCTAGGGAAACATTATCGTCTTCCAGCACCCCGTCAGGCACGTGACACAATCTCAGATTCCTCACGTGGCGAAAAATCGTGAGAATTAGCAACATCAAAAAGTTCAATTCAGGGCCCGGCCAACCGTCCGAACCGTGCATTGTGACCTTCAAACTGTTCAATTTCGGCGGGCAGGTTAGCTTATCGGGAAACAATGCTTTCTAGTCTTTCACCATGTCGAAATATGCACGATTATAGCGCAAAGTAAGTTCGAATTGCAATTTCCTTAAATTTGTGCATGATTCAAAAAGTTTGACCACGCGACAATCGTCCCATTCGAGTTTGTCGTCAATCCTCAGATTAATTTGTAACTTGGTCACCGACCTTAAATCGTGGGAGCCTGCCACTGGGAGGCCAATATTAAACACTCTGAAAGCATAAATAGACCCTCGATTTCTAGGAAGTAGTTGGGTCGAGTCAAGATTTTGATGTGTTTGGAACACACGGCGGAAAAGGGGACGAGGTCGGTGGAACTATAGACCGCGTGCAGGATCAGGTCGACCGGGTTTCGGGTGAGGAGATGTTTGAGAGCTTCCGCTTCCCACGTGGGGTTGAAGAGAGAGGCAGATTCCAAGTCGCGGGTGGGGAGGAACGTCATAATTCGAAAAATGATCTGAAAACATTAACAAAGTTATATATGATCCGGTTCATATAAGAAGTTCACTATGCATAAATGTTGTACCCTTAAAAATAAGATTGTCCCTTTAAAAAAATAAATAAATACGCTATAGGTTTACGTATGTATGTATATAATATTGAATTTAGAGCGTATTTACTTTTTATGTAAGAGGGGGCCACTATTTTTTTCAATAGGAAAAAATACATAGGGCGGTTGGCGGTTGGCCCTAAATACATCGTAAAAACATTTACTTTGAATTATTTTTTATATACCTATTTTGCTTATTGGACGTATGTACATACATTAAACAGTGGCTTTGAGCTCGAGTAAATTTTTTAGTATTTTCTTAATTCTAGAACAAGTTATCTTTTTTAGAACTTTGTAAATTATAAAAACAATTCAATTAGCTCCAAAACATGCATTTTTTATCTCAAAAACAGTTCTGGACACATAAATACCAGGATATTCGCCAAAATTAGAAAAGCAATACTAGACTAAGGCAATACAAATTTATTGTTTCATATTTAAATATAGTCCTTAATGTAATTTTTAGCTTTAAGCTAAGCATGTAATTTTGTATGGAAACAGAAGTTTTACTGCTGATATGTAGCTAATTCCTCACAGTTTGAGTTGACCGAAAGAAGCAACTACTGATAGATCCCTAAAAAGCCTTTTATAAGTATAGCAAAATACAAATCGTTTTAAAAAATTAAATCTGCATTAACGTGGAACACTAAAATCATTTCAAAAATGTGTCGGCAAAAGTATTCAAAGTAGATACCACGTGAAGAATTTCCTCCATAGGGGCGCCGTCGCGATCTTGCCCCGGGAGCAAATTTCCAAGATCGGGCGCTGGTTGAATACTATAAATAGTATTCAACACATTTTAAGAAAAATGTGCAACTAGCTGAGAATACATTTAATAAATGAAACCCCGTTTTGACCTTTAACCCTTTTTCGCCCTTAAAAAGGGATTTGTACTGTGACAACCTTTGTGAAAAAGTTGCCTTTTCTGTTTGGGGGAGTGCATAAGTTACGCGTGACGCGAGGGAGGGGGGTGTAAATTTCCATCGGATGATGGAAATGTATCCCAGGTGAAAAATTTAAGGGATTTTACGCATAAATTTGGCTGGTTTTTATTAAGAGAATTGGCTGGTTTTTACGCAGAAAATTTATGGTGAAACAATTTGTGCATAAAATATGCAGAATTATGCATAATTGTGCAAAACCTTGTTGCAGAATATACCTGTCAGAAGGTTTATGCAGAATCGTTCATACGTTTTCTGCACAAACCATAGGTCCGGGCAGTTGTGTCGAATTATGTCAAATTCGACACACGATTTTCACCCGGGATGTTACACATGGTAAATGGGAGGTCCAGAAAATGGCAATTATTACCGTACGTAATTTATGAACAACCTTATTTAGACAAAGGAAGGTATTAAACTAGACTTTTGTTGGGCTCATTTTTCTATCCTGTTCTTTCATGGGGATTAAAGGGTTATAAGTACTAATCTCTTAAAGTTGCCATACCTAAATTTGTATTTACAAAAATAGAAGTGAAGTCTGGGAGGTATGTATGTACTCCTAAAAACTTGGTAGTGGCATACAATCTTAGAAATCCAATATTAAAATAATACCAAGCGGTATTCACACATATGTGACTTTACCAAAGCGGTATTGATGACTACTACCGTCCAGTAGTAGCTCGGTATTAAAGTTTTACCACATCAGTAGCAAATTCTTACGGACCGATATAATATTAATACCAATTGGTAGCAACTTTAATACCGAGAAATCGTAACTATATCAGATTATTAACAATGTACATAAAAACTCCGTACTGATATTGATTTGGTAATAATTTCCTACCGGATTGGGAGCAACCTACATATTAGTTTATTTCCTGAGTCGTAAATTTGTCAATGCTACATTACTGAACGGTAAACCCTCCTTATTATCAGTGGCGGTAGAGTCATATGCAAATGTACTCCTGTCAGTAATGATTTAGTACCAGTTTCTTAAGAGTAGGCTAATTATTAGACACATAATAATTTTTGTAGATATGTAAGTATCTATTTATTAAAGCATAACTTTGATAAATGCGTAACATATTTATAATATATTTTTTTTAATTTTTACCCTTTAATTCCAAAATTTTACAAATCTATTCCACATTAAACTTCATCTCCTCATAGAAATCCGTCCTAATCTCGCGAACCTTTGGATCCCTCAAAAACCCAAATTTGCTTCCAAATTCGACAAACTTTTCGAACTTTCTCACCCTCTCCTTTCTCCTCCTCTTCTCAACCAGATCACACCCCACGTTCGGAAAGGTTCTTGCAACCTTCTCATAAAACTCGGCCTGCTCGCAGGTACAAACGCTAACCTCATCGCGACATCCACACCGCAAATCCTGCTCACTCGGAAACGAAATGTCCAAACTTCTCAGCGTCTCACAAGGCGAGATTCCCTTGGCCAAAAATGTGCTACACATGAATACCCTGACCCCCTCCGGGGAACAGTTTTCCCTTCCCCAGTCCCCCATCTCTGGGGTAACGGGAAACTCCATCCGCACAATTAACCTCTCCAGGACGGGAAACTGTTTAGCATAGATTAACTCCTCCGTCGCAAATTTTAGCGAAATGTCGCGAATCAAAATACCGTCTTTTGCATACAGTTCGTCCTCGTCTTTCCTTACGATCTTTAAAACTTTTAACTTTGGGAGGATCGGGACGCGTAAGTCTTCCCTGCGATGGTCCGGCCATGTGGGAAAGGCGGGAACGTACGAGATGCAGAGGTGTTTTAACTGGGGGGCAAGGATGTCGAGGAGGTTAGGTTGACCTTCGGGGTTATCCCCGATTTGCGGGTTGACCTCGAGCCGGGTAACGTGCGAAAAATTCGCAACGTTTTTTACCGGACTCGGCGGCCCGGTTCGCTCATAATAAAACGCTCGGATCACGGCGAGAGATTTGAGTCTGCGCAGTGGGATGGCATTTTCTTCCAAAACCCAGTCAGGTAGGTCAGAAAGTGTGAGGCTTTCCACGTGGCGGAAAACCGTGAGGATTCGCAGGATCAAAGAGGTGATGGGGTGGGGCCTAGTGAATTTGTCTGAATAGGACCTATTCAAAAAATATTTCTTCATTTAAAACTCATTTCAGTAAAAAAAATATTCATTCATTATTTACTCATTCAAAATATGACAATGAAGACTTAATCATTAATCATTATCCATTTCTTACTCATTGTGTCTCAAATTCGATTAATTAGATGGATTTCGCAATACACCCCATGAAAAATGATTAATGAACACGATTATTCATTAATTCTTCATGAGTATGAATTGAGTGACTACTTATTTCTGCCAGATAAATTGATACCAAATAAATAAATAATTAATTATTCTCTCTTTATTCACGTCAAGGTAGTGAATAATGAATGAATAATTTTCACTTTTAAATAAATGAATGTGAACAGCTCTACGCACATGTTAATCGTCAAACTCCTCAGTTTACCCGGAACCGTTAGCTCATCGAGAAACAGGTCCTTCCAGTTTTCTTCCGAGGATACATTTTCCCACTTATGCACAATGGGCCAGGACCTATGATTTGGTGGCCAAAAACTGAAGGTGAACTATGGGGTAAATTTTGCACTGAATGAGTAGAGTACTAGTCCATTATCATTGTTGAAAAATTCTATCAATTTTTCATCTCTGGCTTTGAAGTAACAAGACTATAGAAATCTCAGAAACCATTGGGATGCATTGACAAAAGTTTCAATGGGCGCCACCACTCGCCACCGGCTGTTCCGGTTGATCTTTTTCGATCATAGCCTACTTCTGGCCTTGCTGTATTCGAAAGTGACCCGACATCGTCCACCTTTTTGACGTTTGAAAATTTACGGAGTCATATAGGGCATCAGATTGTACGACTTTTTTGTTGGAAGGATTTGTTAAACCGGTGAAAGTAAAATTTGCTAAATAAAACCAACACCGGCATCATAAATGTAACCCCAGGTGGAGGCTCCTGTCAACTTTTGGGGTCAATCGGGCCACCCCCCTGGGCGCCAGGGGGTGTGGTCTGGGTAAAATGTGATTCTTAGTGCAATTTAATCCATAGATGAAATAGGGTAAAATTAAGTGTTCCCGAGTTGTGCCACGCCCCCTTGCTCGTGGGGGTGTGGTCTGGGGGAAAATGAGATTTTCACTGAAATTGAATCTATCGATGAAATACAGTGAAATAGAGTGTTCCTACGATGGGAGTGGTTGGGGTAAAATGAGTTTGAAGCTACTTCTGTATGCGCGTTTGCGACGATTTATTTACTGTGAGGGGGGACGTGAAGGTCGACGATTTAAGTTGAATTATTTTTATTCAAGTATGCCTTATGTATACTCAGTCGCTGGACTTTCTCAGAAAACTCAGGTGGTAGCAGGAAAGTATTTTGAAACAGCACCCTCTATTGTAGAGGAGTCTAAATTAAAGACATTTCTTGTTGCGAGGTTTAACGGCCGATCGTGGCATGCTTAACAACATTGACAGTTGAAATTACTCGGGTAACTTTTCAAATTGTTGATTTTCAAATTGTCGATTTTCAATTTGTGGAGGTTTTGGAAACCTTAGATCGATGGGCGAACCAAATATTTCCAGATTCTTATAAAATTCGTCCACAGCCCCTTGAAATTAGTCACAAAGTCAAAGGAATTATAAAATATAATTAATGAATACTGCTAAATTTCAAAAACTAAAAATCAAAGTTAATGTCGGAAAAATACCTCGACGCCGTGGGCAATGTTCAGTTCAGTTCAGCAATGTTGAGTTCACACGCCACACCCCCAGTGGGTGTGGCCCTCGGCTAGTTTTAGATTTTAACGGAACCATGTCACGTGATGTTTCATTTTTCATTTTTCTCAGCTCGACAAGGGGGACTCGACGGAATACCTAAAATTGGGAGACCGTGCCCCCAGTGGGTGTGGTTCTCAGAAAATTTTCTACTTTAATAAAACAAATCCATTTGTTATATCATGTTTGTCAGCTCGGCCAGGGGATCTCGACAGAATAATTAAAACTTATAAACCACACCCCCGATGAGTGGGGCGTTCAGCGACTTTAAGGTGTTTTCCCCGATATTAAATTTCCCAACACCCAAATAGCACTACTCGTAATTTGGGGTTTCCATGAAGGGTCGTGTTTCCGGTTGTGGCGGTTTTGAGTGCATTTTCAGCTCAAATTTATATTTTTTAAAAGGTTGTATGTTTTATAATGAGTTTAACGCTACATCAAAAACGGAAGACTACAAACATTATTTCTCAAAAATTATTAAAAATAAAATTATAAAAATACGTTTTTAAAAATTTGAAACTTTGTACCCTATTTCGGGTGTGGTTTCAAAATTTTAATGATTCTGTCGGGATCCCTTCGTCTAGCTGAGAAAGGTTACCAATGAATTGTTTAAATTTTGCACAATGAATAGATATAACTTTATAACAAGATTTTGTTGATTAAAGCTTTTACTCACTGAACCTGGTAATCCATATTATGAGCTGGAAATGTTTGTCTTTAACGGAATTAGAAGCAATTTTACTTGAGGGACGTGAATGCAGAGAAAGAAATAGTATTAATTGGAGCATGGAAATAAAAATTACTATCACCCGGGGGAGACGTTCTTATGCGCTAGTGGCGCATAATGCAAATTGAGCGTGTATTTGGTGGCGATAAGTAATTTGTGTCGTACGGCAAACGGAAAATGCGCTGATAGTCACACCCCTTATGGGTGGGTATTGAAGAATTTTCCGCGCTAATTTTGCCACTGTTGACGCGTGTTACTCTGGTAGTAGTTTGAAATTTTGAAATTTGAAGCTCGTGGCCCACATTCGAATGTGGTTTTGAAATTTCATACATTCCATCTGAATCAATAGATATATCCGAGAATAATGATATGTCGCGTGCTTGGGTTTTTCTTTGACAAAATGGCGTTGATGGCGACACCCCCTGGGAATGGGGTTTTTGAATTTCGTGTTCTGCATCGTAATCCCATTATAAAGTCAAAAGGAATGACGTGTCGCATGCCTTGGTGTACTTAAACTAAAGGTGTTGCTGGGCACGCCCACTGGGGGTGTGGTTTTTGAATTTCGTGTGCTGCATCGTAATCCCATCATAAAGTCAAGAAGAATGACATGTCGCATGCCTGGGGTTACTCAGACTAAAGAAGGCGTTGATGGCCACACCCCCTTGGGGGTGGGCCAGATTGCCACTTAACCTTGAATCAGATACCCCATGATTTACTTTATATTTGTACGCAACGAATTATTTTGATGACTTTAAGTGCGGCGTATATGTATTTTTGGCCACCAAATCATAGGTCCTGGCCCATTGTGTTATGTGGCGGAATCAGATGGAATTTCAACGAGTTTAAATTTACAAATGGTTCAAAAAGCTTAACCATCTGACTCTCCACGTGTCTGGAATTTCCGTCCACGAGGAAATCAGTTTCTAACTTGGTCACAGATTTAAAGTAATCGATGGATCGTAGTAATTCGCATTTTATGAGAAAAATCTCCCTCTTCCGGTAGAACTCGTAAGCGGTTAGTATCTTCACGTGTTTGGGAGACAAGGCGGAAAGGGGGCGAGGTCGGCGGGGTCGTTGACCTCGGAGAGGCGAAGGTCAACCGGGTTTCGGGCGAGGAGATGGAACAGAGCTTCTGCTTCCCACGTGGCGTTGACGAGGGAGCATGATTCCAACTCGGGAGCGGGGAGGAAGCCCATGATTCGAGAAATTACCTGGATACCATTAAATTATTTCAAATCTATTCAGTCAATATATGTATGTAATACCGAACTCAAAATACAATTATCTAACAATGCGATGGTGTGAAGTGTAACCCTCCGATTTTGTTGAAATTTTGAAATTAAGTGGTCCACGCCAATACAACCAACGTTTCTTAAGGCAGTTTGTGCGATGGTCTAAACTTGCCAAACTATTTTAGGTCAAAGTTGAAAAATGTACAATTTTTGGTACGGGAAGAGAATGGAAGTTGAGTTGCGTCGTCCGTTTATTAAAAATTGCCCGTTTTTCAACTTTGCCGCCAAATATTTTGGCAAATTTTGACCATCGCACAAACTGCCTCAAGAAACGTTGGTTGTATTAACGTGGACCACATAATTTCGAAATTTCAATCAAATCGGAGGGTTACACTTCACATCATCGCATTGTAAGTAAAATTTGCCATGACACTAACCGGTTGTGTAAAATTTACTCAAGGTTTAGCCACAATTCGGAAAAATTTTACACAACCCGTTCTGTCATAAAGCATGAGTAAAGTGTTCCCAAATTCATGGCCACACCATTCCTGAATGGTTATTCCGTTAATACCAGTGCCGGTAGAGTCAAATATGTACTCCGGTGGGTAATAATTTAACACTAGTTTTCTAAGAGTGCACCAAAACGGATTTAAACCTGTACCTCGGGCAAGTTTGCGACTAAATTGAGTGATTCTTGAGGACAATTCTCCATTTCGGGGTCGATACGGCTTATCGAAAAGTTACGAAAATTACTCTCTATTACTAAATAAATATTGCGAAAAACTCAATATTAGAACGATGTTTTTAAAAAATATGCTACAACCGGCGAAAAAACCTTTCTTAACTTGGCATCCCTTTTAAGAAAAATGGGGAAAGGTTCTCTTCAGAGTTAAAAATAAATACTTTTGGGAAAAAAACTTGACGGTTAGTGTAAAGTGTGTTACCTGTACATACAAATCCCCATTACTTTATTTATAAGGCACAATACTGGAAATGGTACAGAAGACAGAGAGAAGCTCAAAACTACGCATGTACTTGAGTTCATTCTACCCATCGGGTTTTTAACCCTTTCAGGAGTATGATTACCTGCATTCATTCATGGACGTTAGAAGTATTTACATATATATTTTGCGTTCAGTGTGCCAAAGATGTAGTCCAATAGTTTTAATAGAACTTGAAAAACTGAAGGATCCAAAGTTCAATGTTACATTATATTCGAAAGGGGTCTATAAAATGAGGATTTTTGGGTTACAGAAATTATGGATGGCTCTTAAGGCATTGTATTTCAAGAAAAACGTGAATATATGCATGCAGAATTTATTTGGCACCTTATGTATGTATTAATATTGGTGGCAAGTATACTACGTGTACAGAAATATATGTAATTGTATCGTTTCAAATAACCCCAGGGTATGCTACCCCGGGCTTTTGGGGTTTTGCGGGTATTAGTTTGTTTTCGGGTAGCAAAAAGGAGCAATACCAACGGGCAGCCGGGGTTGCCAAATTTAAAGAAGTGCATACTAACTATATTACAACAACACGTTACTCACAGTTTTATAAAACAATTATAAACTGCTTTATTGCGAAAATGTTGAAAAAATTGATTGTTTCCAAAACGTAAGGCATGCCAGATTGACTCCAAAACCCCAGGTAAACCACTAGGAACGGGTTTTCCCTAGAAAACGTCGGGGTTTTCCTTACCCTGATTCACTTCTGAATCATCCCGCATAGCTCTTTTTTATGTATGATATGTATAAATATCATTTATACTTTTAAACTCCTTGCAAGTAGCGAATTACTCGTTTCATTAGCATCAACAACT